GGGGTGGTGGACATCCTTGAGTCCGTCTGCCCTTAGCGATAGTGCCCTTGCATAGTGAACAACCCACACAATGGTAAACGCAGGGCTGCTGGGCCCCTGCCGCATACCAGCCATGTGCCGGGACCGTGCTCAGCATCGTGATGGCAGTCTGCCCTCGGGCAGCTTGCAGTCTGGCAGGAACACCAAAGCACGGGAAAGAAGTTACAGGCAGAGTGAGATACAGGGCAGGAGTCCTCAGGCATCCAGGATCTCTGAAGGCTGGAGAGGCCGGGCATGTGAATTGGGAGATGGAGAAGGGGCCATCTGAGTGGAGCCCTGGAGTGTGGGCAGGAGGAGGCCCCCCAGAAAAGGAGGACACTGGACATGCAGGGGGTGGGTTTGCTCCAGTCACAAGCACAGTGTGAGCAAGGCACGGAGGCTGCTGAGCAGCAAGACTCGCGTTGGGGGATGAGGGGCAGGGGATATGGGGCTGTGATGTGGGTGGGACACGTTTGAGGTCGGGGCTGTGAGCAGCCGCTCGGCAGGTTGGGGTGGGAAGCCTGATGGAGTCGCAGCCCCACGGCCTCCTCTACCCTCCTCCCCGTCCCCTGGCAGAGCTTTGCCAGCACCACTGCCAAGGAGGCTGCTCCCACAGAGCGGTGGGGGGGGGGGGAGGCCGCCTTGGGAGCAACCGGGGAGTTCCCGGGCCTCAGAGGAGCCACTCTGCCCACGCCCAGAACAGCAGCAGTGCGGCTGATGCTGCAGCTCCTGAGGCCAGCCTCGCTGTCATCCACCTGCCATCCCACCTGCTTGGCTTTCCTGGGAAGGTCGGGCAACCCCCACTCCGCAGACCCCAGTCCTTCCCACCCATCCTCCGCCGCAGAGGCACCTCTGAGCATCTCTGAATACGCAGAGTCTGGGCCACTGAGGCAATAGCAGGATTGCTGGCCGTTCTTGGTGGCCTTGGAGAGGAGAGGTAGGGGGTAGAGGTTGTGGCTATGAGCTGCGCCTGCAGAGCCAGGCTTCAGACTCGGATCTTAGGCCATCACTTAAGGTCTCTGTGAGTTGTCCCACGTGTCAGATAGGGACGGTGATGATAAGAGGAGCCGAATCTCAGTTATTGTGAAGATGGGCAGGCCTGAGGGCACATGGTTGGCCCCATCCCTCCTTTGGGACCCTTATTGTCTGGGGTGGGCACTTGGCCTGCACAGAGAAGGCGCTGGCAGATATTGGCCGGCTCTATCCCGCCAGTGTGCCCCATGAGGCCTGAGTGTCTCAAGCGGGAAGCTGGGGGCCAAGGTGTTGGGGACCAGAGTCCTCAGGTCACCCTTACTCGCCACACAGAAGGTCATGGGATACCCCTCCTGGGACCTGGGACCTGCAGCAGGCACTGCCACCCTGAATGAGCCCCCCAGCCTGGAGCCTCTCAGCTCACCAGGGATTCTCAAGCCCTCTGCTTTCCCTCTGGCCCCACCATTATATCAGGGAGGCCTGGGGCATTGGGGGACGAAGGAACCTCAGGGCTTTCTCTGCAGCACAGACTATAGAGGCCTGTGGCCTGGAGATGCCCTCCCTGGTCAGAGAGAAAGAGGGGAGACCACACAGGACCTCAGGGGGAGCCGAGCCCACCCGGAGAGATGTAGAGGTGGGATAGATTTTCAGTAGACAACAACCAAGTTAAACGGAGCCATTCAGAGCAGAACTTAGCTCCCCCCCAGACCTAAAGCACCCTGGCGAGACCACCCACTTTGCCCTTGCTGTTCCCACAACCTAGAACACTGTTCCCTATATCATCCCGTAACTGGCTCCTTCTCACCATCCAGGCAAAGGACGCCTCCTCAAGGAGGCCTTCCCAGACCGCTCTGAGTAAAGTAGTCTCCCCACCACCTCACCCTCTTACTATACATAGATAATAAATAAACACTGGGGTAGGAGGAGATTTATTTATCAGTTTAGGTTGTTTCCTATCTTTTGATTTTCTGTACTTAAACTTTTTATTTTTGACGTAATTTGTCAATTCACATGAGTTTTAAGAAATAATCCGAGGGGCCCCTGGGTGGCTCAGTGGTTGAGTATCTGCCTTCAGCTCAGGGTGTGACCCCAGGGTCCTGGGATCGAGTCCCACATCGGGCTCCTTGCATGGAGCCTGATTCTCCCTCTGCCTGTGTCTCTGCCTCTCTCTGTGTCTCTCATGAATAAAAAAGAAATAAAGAAGAAAGAAGAAAGAAAGAAAAGAAAGAAAGAAAGAAAAAGAAAGAAAGAAAGAAAGAAAGAAAGAAAGAAAGAAAGAAAGAAAAGAAAGAAAGAAGAAAAAAGAAAAGAAAAAAAATAAAATCTAGACATCCGTGTCCACTTTACACAGTCTTCTCCAATGATAACCTCTTTCAAGATCATAGGACATCAACTGTCATATTGACCCTGATGCAGTTAAGATACAGGACAGTCCCATGGCTGGGAGGGTCTGTCACGCTGCCCCTGTGTGCCCACGCCCACCTGCCCCCTGCCCCACCCCCTTAGCCACCAGCAACCCCTCCCATATTCCCCATTTTACAATTATGCCACCTCAAAGCTGTTATGGAAATAGAATCATGCAGTATGTAATCTACTGGTATTTGCTTTTTGCACTCTGGCTCATCCAGACTCTGTTATGCATCCATAGCTCATTCCTGTTGACCGCTGACTAGTCCTCCCTGAGATGGACACGCTGCAGGTTGGTTAACCCTCCACCCACTGAAGGACGTCTGGGTTCTTACTGGTTACTGACTGCTGTGCCCCGAGCTGTGGGGCACGCCTGCATGCGGGTCTCTGTGTAGACCGAAGGGTTGATTTCTCTGGGGCAGATGCTCAAGAGTGCTTGCTGCTGGGTTGTGCAGTTGTTACCTATTTCGTTTTTAAGAAATGACCAGATTGTTTTCCTGAGGGGCTGTACCACTTTACATGCCCACCAGCAATGGCTGAGCGGTCGTTTCCCCATGTCCTCACCGGCATTTGGTATCCTCACTTTTCTCGTTTGAACCAGCCTGAGAGGTGTGTAGGGAGCTCTCTTTGGTGAATCTTGCTGTATGTTTATCACAGTTGTGTCTCTGTGAGCTCTGTTAGGGCCGGGGCCTTCTTGGTCTGCCCTCTGTGCATCCCCAGAGGTCAGGGCAGTGCCTGACAAAGGGAGAAACCCAGTGACTATTTAAGGAATGAAGGCATGGCCTGTGGGGTCTCTGGCCCTTAGAAAGCTGAGAAGGTGGGAAGGCAGAAAGGCCTTCACTCCTGAGCACCTGCCCCAGTGGGATTGCTCAGGGAAGGCGAGGGCCCTCGGTGATGGAGGAGGATGGGAGGAGGGAAGGAGTACTTCCTGCCAGTGCCTGGTGCCTCCAGGCCCTATTCAGGGCACATACTCTGTGCGGGGCACTTCTCACTCCTCTCTTCCCACTGCATCTGCCTTCCCAGGGTAGAAACCTCCAGAAGATAAATGTGTGTGAATCCCCAAAGCTCTTCCCACCGGGGCTTGAGGCTTTCAGGTTTTGTTTTTCACTTTTATTTTCTCTCCACTGTAATTGCACCAGGGTAAGGGCCAGGCCTTTCTTAGGATTTATGCATGGGCCATAATCAAATTTTGCCCTAAGTTGGAGGGGCCTCCATGCCATGGCATACAAATGGAGCTTTTTATCCAGGTTGAAACGGCTGACTTGGGCTGTGAGCCTTGCTCTCTGAAGGGAGGCGATCCTGTTTTCCGTCCTAGTGGCTAACACTGGCCACATATCATTATTAATACATCATCATGCTAAGGGGTCTCAGAAGAGGCTTCTCCCTGCAGGGGATGCATTTCCCTGAGGGTAATAAAACCTGGACATGATGCATTAGCTAACAATGCAGCAGAAGGTAACACGGAATTTAAATGTCTATCTCTAGAGCTCACAGATCTACACATAGAGGAGGTCAGTACATAAGAGAAAAAAAGAAAAGATCAAGATTTGCAAAAGAAAAAAAACTTCATCAATTAACATGAAGCCAGAAGTAAGGTCAGAAGGCAAGACGTAAGCACGAGGGCCCCCATTCCCACACTGAGAACGGGCCGCCAGATTGTTCTCAGGATTGCTGGCGCCGTGCATTTGCTTGGGCTGCCATAGCACAGCACCCTCGCCCGGGCGGCTCGAGCAACACAAATCGCTCTCCTCACAGTTCTGCAGGCTGAGAGTCTGAGGTCGCAGTATCTGCGGGTTTGGATTCTCCTGAGGCCTCCCTCCTAGACTTGTCTTCCTGCTGGGTCGCCTCCGCGGGTGTCCGTGGCCCACTCTCTTCTTACAAGGATTCCAGTCATTCCGGACTAGGGCTCGCTCGTATGGCCTCACTGTAACACTGATCACCCCCGAAAGGCCTCACCCCCAAACACAGACCCAATCCGAGACACTGAGGGTTCAGACTTCAGCACGTGAACGGCGGGAGGAAGGGGGGTGCCACGGCTCGGCTCATATAGGGGCCGATGGGAGGAAAAGGTCCATCGATTACATGGGCCAGAGGCTTTGTGAAAAGAAAAACTCAGAGCAGAGCTTTTGCCCCGCAGGGCACCGAGAGGCTAGAGGACATGCCCCCTGTGGCCCTTGACCTGCAGGTGTTGTTGGGGGGCACCCCCGTTCCCGCAGCACGCTGAGCAGTGGAGGGCCGAGTGGCCGTCCTTTCTAGGTTTCCCAGCTGCAGGTTAATGGAGCAGAATTAAGGGAAACTGTGCCCTCGAGAAGCTTCCAGAGCCTTGACTGTGTGATAGGGGCCCACTGCCCAATGAGAGGCCTCACCCCAAGGGCCTTTGGGGTCCCAGGCATGGGATGCTGAAGGGCCTGGCCAGCCGGCCAGGCTGGGACGTGCAGGTGGGGGTGAGGAGGGCCGGCCTTCTGGCAGAGGGGGAAGCCCGTGCCGAGATGGGGGTCCCGAGGTCAGTGCGCCCAGCAGCCCGGCCTCCCTCCCTCCCCAGCCAGGTGTCCACTCCAGGACGGCGCCACTAACCCCACTGTCCTCTGTGTGCGTCCCTGCAGGGCTCTGGCTGAGAACATGGCCAATGGCATCGACGAGCTCATCGGCATCCCCTTCCCCAACCACAGCAGCGAGGTCCTGTGCAGCCTGAACGAGCAGCGGCATGACGGCCTGCTCTGCGACGTGCTGCTGGTGGTGCAGGAGCAGGAGTACCGCACGCACCGCTCCGTGCTGGCGGCCTGCAGCAAGTACTTCAAGAAGCTCTTCACGGCCGGCGCCCTCGCCAGCCAGCCGTATGTCTACGAGATCGACTTCGTGCAGCCCGAGGCCCTGGCCGCCATCCTGGACTTCGCCTACACCTCCACGCTCACCATCACCGCCTCCAATGTCAAGCACATCCTCAACGCCGCCAGGATGCTGGAGATCCAGTGCATCGTGAACGTGTGTCTGGAGATCATGGAGCCCGGTGGCGACGGCGGGGAGGAGGACGACAAGGAGGATGACGACGACGAGGACGAGGACGAGGATGAGGAGGACGAGGAGGAGGAAGAAGAGGAGGAGGAAGATGAGGAGGACGAGGAGGACGACACTGAGGACTTTGCTGATCAAGAAAACCTGACTGACCCCCAGGACATCAACTGCCACCAAAGCCCTTCCAAGACAGACCATCTCACAGAGAAGGCCTACTCGGACACACCCAGGGACTTCCCCGATTCCTTCCAGGCCGGCAGCCCCAGCCACCTGGGCGTGATCCGGGACTTCTCCATTGAGTCTCTACTGAGGGAGAACCTGTACCCCAAGGCCAACATCGCTGACAGGAGACCCTCCCTGTCTCCGTTCGCCCCTGACTTCTTCCCACATCTCTGGCCAGGGGACTTCGGTGCCTTCACCCAGCTGCCCGAGCAGCCCATGGACAGTGGGCCACTGGATCTGGTCATCAAGAACCGGAAGATCAAGGAGGAGGAGAAGGAGGAGCTGCCCCCACCCCCACCACCCCCCTTCCCCAGCGACTTCTTCAAGGACATGTTCCCCGACCTCCCTGGGGGGCCGCTGGGCCCCATCAAGGCCGAGAGTGACTACGGTGCCTATCTCAACTTCCTGAGTGCCACCCACCTAGGGGGCCTCTTCCCGCCCTGGCCCCTGGTGGAGGAGCGCAAGCTGAAGCCCAAGGCGTCCCAGCAGTGCCCCATCTGCCACAAAGTCATCATGGGGGCCGGGAAGCTGCCGAGACACATGAGGACCCACACGGGGAGAAGCCATACATGTGCAACATCTGTGAGGTCCGCTTCACCAGGTGTGTATCTCGGGGGGGCCAGGGGAGGGTCAGGGGCCTGGATGAGGACAGCAGAGTGGGGCAGGGAGTGCTGGGATGGAGACACCCAGTTCAGGGGAGGCCCTACTGGGTCCTAGGTGATGCATGTCAAGTTTAATCATTAGAAAGCATGCTAGGCACTACCTGGTGCAGACAGTTCCATACTTAGATTAATGAGCCAAAATATCTTCTAAAATATAACATTCGGTGGAAGGCCAAGATATGATCCAGATGAGAGCGGAGATGTTCTAGGGGAGTCAGAAGTGAGGGCCCTCGGCTCCTTGCTTGCATGACCTCCCTCCCCCGCCCGCACTGTGGATCCAAGGAGGCCAGTTTGAAGCTCCCCAGTGGAGCACCACCTGTTTATTTTATTCAGAGCATGCTCAGCATGCCAGGGGCTGTCCCAGGTGGACCGTGCACACTGTCACCACAGCCCTGCTCCGGGAGGACAGGGAGGTGCTGGGGCCTTTGTTTACAGATGAGCGATCCACCTCCCACTGGCCAGTCTGCTGTCTGCCGCTCATAAGTGCAGAGAGGATCACGTCAGACCTGGGACGGCAAAATCGGTGACCAGGAGACTACAGAGACCCCTGCAGTGTTCTCGGCCCACTCTTGGATCAGGTCCTTTAGATCTGATCCTCTTTTTATGTTCTCCTCCTTGACTGTCCGTGTTAGGAAGAGGGTGGACTCAGTGCAGTGGTAACATCTGAGATTTGAACTCAGTACATTGCAAACCTTTCATCTTTCACGGACTTCGTGCCCTTCAGCGAGCGTGTGTTATGGGCCTTTCCTGCACTGCAGCTCTCGGGTCCCAGACTGACTGGTGGGACGACGTGGGCTCAGCTTTGTTTCCCTGCTCTGTTTTGCTGGGCCTCATTTTGGGAAAATATGGTCTGTGTTGGTGCTGTTTGTGGTCACAAGTGTGAGGCCGAGTCTCCCAGCCACTCTGACAGAGGAGAAAGCTCTGGTGAGTGGTGTTGCGTCAGGGCTCGGTCATTTCTGTGTAGACAGAGCCTGGTGAACACCTGCCCTGAGACCGTGACTTGCCAGGCCAGGTCCCTGCCCCCACACTGCCACCATCCCTGGCAAAGAACTCAGCTCGAGGAGACCCACACTTGTGCCAGTGGCACTGCCATGACCCCACGTCCTCTTGGAAATTTCTCTTTGAGAATTGCTGCAAACTCATTCTTTTGATTTTCCTCGGTGGGCCCAAGCTTTGGCCTTTGAGGATGGAGTGACACTTTTTTGAGTCAAGCTGAGTAGCGAATCAGGGACAGTACTTTTCAGGGGGAGGAGGGAATAAGATGAGTCTATATTATGAAGTAATGAGACCCACGATCTTAGGTGGCTTCAAAGCTCTATTTGAAGTTTCCAGAGAAGGGTATCAGAGATCTGTTTGGGTGACAGTGGCATTGCTAGAGTAGCTCTGCAGGCTGCCCTGAGGACTGTTCAGAAGGACAGCACTGATGGTTTCAAAGGTGGCCTTGGAGCCACAGCTCTTTCTGCGAGGGGAAACCCCAGGCAGAGTCTCCCCCAGATGCTTTGGGCTGACAGCAGAGGGAGAGTCTCCAGGTGCAGGGGGGCCGGGCCCCACACACCCTAGGTGCATACCCTTCTTTACCACAGTGCTGACCTCAGGGCACTCTTCTCCTGTTACTGCCTCATGGCAGCCAGACCCTAGGTCCTGGGCTTTACCTCCCTGGGATATCCCTTCAGTGGCCCTGCCATGCCAGTCCCCCCCCGCCCCCACCAGCACCAGCACCGCCACCGCCTTCCCCTGAATACCTTAGGTGAATACTTTAGCCCCACAGGCCAGGCCAGAACACTGAACAACGTGTGACAGAAGCACCGTGGTGATATTAGGGAGATAAATGAGGGCACGAGCCACGTCCGAGTACCACTCACCCATCTCCAGCCTGTGATGCCCAGCCCCGTCCCCCGGGAATGACTTCAAAGACAAGGAACACTATGCACAGGCCAGATCCAGCAAAGCCAGGCCCCAGGTCAGCCAGAGCACCCCCGTCCTTCCAGCGGGGTCCCTGCCCCTCATTTCCCACACCTGTTCTCTCCCCAGATGGCCGCCGACTCAGGGACTCCTCTGCCCTCAGGGGCACCCGGGCCTGCCTGGGGCTTCAGGGGGATGCCCAGCACCCCGGGTCCCTTCCCTCCAGGGCTTTCCCACCCACAGCCTTCCGTGCAGGCCACCCCAGTCCGCGGGCCCTGCCTTCCCTAGGGAGAGTGCTCAGCGGGGTCAGTCACCGCAGACAGACTTCTCCAGACACAGGAAGGTCCTGTGAGCGGGCCTCCTGGGTCGGCCAGGGTGCCGGGTCGCATAGGAGGGCAGCATTCCAGAACCCTCCCTCCCAGCACATTCCTGATGATCATGTAGGGAGTCCTCTGGGCCTGCAGCCTCCAAGCCCTCCCTCCACATGAGCTCGTGGGCCTTTCCGGCTGCGCCCCCCAACCCCTCACCCCCCCCATCCCCCACCCCCAACTGGCCTGAAGCAGCTGCATTCCCGCCCCCATTAGCACCTCCCCTCACCCGGTTCCCACCAGACCCTGACCCTGCTGAAAAAGATCAGAGTTGCTCTTGGCTCCCCCCCTCACCCCAACTGCTTCCCAGGAGCAGAGGCGCCCCAGAGTGGGGGGAGGCTGGACCTTCTCCTGGCCTCCTCACACAAGGGACTCCAGGGACTTGATCCCGGCACCGTGGGCTGCAGCTGTCCGCCTCCAGCCCTCCCGGTCACATTCTCCAGAGCAGCCAGCCTGTGCTTCCCTCCTGCCCCCTCCCAGAGCCGCCCTGCAAGGACTTTCTGTTTCCTGGCCTGACCCTGTTGGGTTTTTCATACCCCACCCCCAGGGGTCGAGTCCCCTTTTAGCCTTTCCACGGGGACCTGCTGGGTGACTGACTTCCTGCACCACAACCCAGAACACCTCCCCACCCTCCCTGCTGCCTCCTTGACTCCGAACTCCCAGCCTCCCCTGCAAGGCCATGCCACTCCTGGGGACCTGGCCCCCCTGAGGCTCAGAGAGATGGGACCAGCTGCCCTCAACGGCTCTTCTTGGACACTGGTTTCCCTTTCTTTCCTTAAACACAGCTGAGCTTCCGCTCTCGAGTCAGGCCTGTCTCCCCCTCTCCTTGATGCTGACCCCACCTGCCATCACCCCAGGGGAAGTCGGAGAGGCCCACCCTCCTCCCGAGAAGTGGCCCTTTGGCTCAGGCTCTGAGTTAGGGCCTCAGATGCTGACTCTCCACACGTCCTGGCTGATGGCTTCGGCAGCGGTGTTGGACAGGTCGGGGGTCCTCCCCACAGAGCCCGTTCTGCCCTGAAAGCCCTGCCTGTAGCTCTCATTCCATGGTTCTCCAAGAAGAGAGAGGAGGGCCTCCCCCACCATGGTGTTGTCCCCCCCCTTGGTGTCAGAAACTCACCTCTGAGATGGCACACGATGTCACCCAGCTCTGGGGACCGTTGTCCCACCACTGACTGTTCCAAGTAGGGGACACCCCTGGAGCCCGAGGCAGGCCCTCAAAAGCCCCAACCAGACTGCGTTTCTGTGGCCCCACGCTGTCCCCTCCTAGCGCTGGTCACCCCACAATGGCTTGGAGTCCTTCTGCACCCTGGGCCTCCACCCCATTAAGGCCTAAGGCCTGGCCTCCAACACCTGCCACCAACATGAGCCCCATGCCGGTTGCTCCAGGCACCGCAGTGGTCTGCTGTCTAAACCAGGCCAAGAGCCCAGCTGCTGCCTGTTGCCCGTGTTTTCCTTTTGGCCCTCCCACTCTTGGCAGCCCTGGGGATCTTATTAAGATAATGCAATGTAATTAGCAGGGGCACCCAGGAAAGGGTTTGTCTCAGACCATCAGGTTATCCCAAGGAGTGTGGGCGGATGGTGCTGGGAAGGCGTTCTTGGGACTGGGAACCGTGATGAGGATGGGGACCCTGGGCAGGACCCTGCAGCCCTCTCCTTCACCACTCCGGGGGGATATGATCTCACGCAGACTGGCACATCCTTCCCAGGATGAGCTCCCTGGACCAGAAGGGGGAATGCAGATCTGGGTGTGGGCACGTGCGGCCTGGGCTGGTCCCTAGTGCAGGGTCAGGGAGGGAGATGGCAGACAAGGGAACCAGGGCGAACCAGAGCGCACCAGGGTTGGAGCTGGGGTGTTCTGAGAACTGATCCTGCACCAGCAGGTCACTGGTCAGTTGACCAAGGCGCCACGAGCCCCCGCCACACGCTCCATGTAGCGCCCCAACTGTGAGGAATGCAGAAGTGTCCAACGGGCTCTCATCCAAGCAGGTCTGGTATCTTCGAAGCCGCGGACTGAGTGAGGGCTCAGCAAGCCAGTGGCCGGCACACACTAAGTGCTGTTGCGCGGCGGGAGAGGGGGCTCGGCGGACTGTGGCACCCTGGAAGGGGCACCAGAGGGCTAATCAGGAATGCCCAGGTTCAGGGCCTGGTGTGACCTCCGCCTGCTCACCTCTCTGAGCCTCCTGTCCCCATCTGTAATGGGGCTTGGAGGAGGCGCTTCCTATGGCTGCTCCCAGGCCCGTGACTCCATCCATATATTACCCCAGGTCAAGGAAAGCTGTGGACACAACACCGCAGCCTCTCTGTCCCCATTTCCTCATGACAATGATGGTGACGCCAAGTGCATGGGCTCAGGTGAGATAAGATGAGGCACCTGAGGCACAGCCAACGCCTGACCCCACTCATGATCAGTACTGAGAGCCATGGCTCCTTATCTGTGGCAGCGGGGCCTGTCTCCTCCTGCATCACCCTGCTGCCCAGGCTTCCAAGGAGGCAGGGCTGCAGGAACCAGGGGCAGGGTGGTGGCTCTGCAGGGACGCGAGGCAGCTGAAGGGAACAGCACATGTGATGGCCCCTGCCCTGGAAATAGCATGCACAGGAAACAAAAGTGGCAAAGGCAGCCTCTGCACAATGTCCCCATCCACCAAGAGTGGCCGTGGGCTCGAGCAAGGGCCACAGAGGGCACCGCTGCAGAGGCTTGGCTCCCAGAGCTCATGCCCTGGGCGGAGGGGACGATGCCAACACTCCCGGGGCCCTTTGAGGACGGGAGAAGGGGATGCCGACACATTGTCTTCTGTCTTCTTGGACACTAGTTTCCCTTTCTTTCCTTAAACATAGCTGAGCTTCCGCTCTCGAGTCAGGCCTGTCTCCCCCTCTCCTTGATGCTGACCCCACCTGCCATCACCCCAGGGGAAGTGGGAAAGGCCCACCCTCCTCCTGAGAAGACACATTGTCTTCTGTTGCTCCCTTCTTGCCCCCCACCCATAACCTAGCTTGGGGGGCTATATTCAGGTCCCGGTACTCTGGAAGGTGAGAGCAAAAGACAGGACGTGGGCAGAGCAATGCCCTTAAATTTGACCTTGAAGGATTCAGGGGGTGGAGGGTAGGGAGTGGGAGACATTTCAGGTGGTGCAGTTAGCAAAGGTAAACTGAGAAAGAGGTGCCGAGAGGAGGCGGGGGCGGGACAGGGGTTCACAGCCGGGGAGGAAGGAACACACAAGCTAGCTTGGTGGGACCCTTGGGTGGAGCAAGCACTGGTGTCCAAACACAAAATCTGCACGGAAGGGACGGAGGCAGCAGCTTCATAACATAGCAGGCTGTGCCCTGGAAGAGGGAAGTTCTGGAAGCCCGGCTCAGGCCAGCAAGTGTTCAGAGACACGGAGCTGTGACCAGAGCATGGCCTGCGGGGAGCAGCGTACCCATGCTGGGCGCAGGGGCATTACTGTGGGGGTGCGGGCTAGCGAGGAGGGGAGTGACCTTTTTTTCCCCCGCTTCATTGAGCTATAATTTTCACATATCCCATAAAAGTTTAAGGTGTAGAACATCATGATACCACGCTAACGAGGTGGAGCACCGTTCCCACACCCATTACTGCAGATACTTGACATCTTCGGTGTGCAGGGCGAGAACATACTGGACTGCTCGCCTGGCCGCTTTCAAGTAATGTGGTATTGTTGCTTACAGTCCCGGGGTCCCCTGAACTAACTCATTTAGTAACTGGAAGGGTTAGCTTGTAAGGGCCTTACAGCCACACCAAGGACGAAGTTAGCATATTACATAGGCGGCCGCCTAGGAGGCATTTTGTGGGACCAGTGGATCTCCAGTCCCAAATGGAAGTGATGAACAATTCAGCTCCTGAGATTCAAGCTAGGACACTCTCCATCTAAACTCATGCCTCCTCCACACAGCAGGCAGATTTGTGAGGAAGCGGGGGGTAGAAGGGCCATAATACACGGAGCCAACTAGCTGGGATGAGATGAATAGAAACCCATTAGCCCAATGCAAACACTCACAGGGCACTGCTGGTCCAAGTGGTGCAGCCCAGCCCCCAATTTTCAGGTCAGGAAACTGAGGCCCAGGGCACCCAGGGAGTTGGCCCAGTTCTTGGAGTGTGCCTGGCCCCCAGGCCCGGCTCTTGCAATGCACCTGTGCATTATAGCCACATGCCCAGGTCGTGGCAGGAGTGAGGAGGAGGTGGGGCCTTAGATAGCCCCTTCCTCTCTGTCCTTGCTTTTCTCATCTGGAGAGTTTCAAGGGGTCAGATGAAATCAGCACTTTCAAGGTCCCAGCAAGGGTACTGCTAACAATGCAGGTTACTAGGCCCTTGGCCCCAGACCCTGAATCAGAGCATATTAATATGATCCCAGTAGATGCGACGATCTATACGGTTTTTTCCCAGGATTGACTTACCATGGGCTTTGTAGTTCTGCTAACCCTGCTCAGTGCCCCTGCCAAAGACCCTAAGGTCTCCACTAGGGACAGCAGGCTCCTGCCCAGGGCCGAGCTCCTCCCACGGCGTGCCCCCAGTCTTCTGGCACCAGACGCCCCCGAAGGCTGCCTGCAAATGCCCTGTTTTGATGGTTCTGGTCTGCACTTTCTGAGACAGCCCTCATAGGTCACAAGCAGGGGATCCCTGGCTTGAATATCTACCTTTCTCAACCTCGGAATAGCTTACAAATGAACCACACCCCAGACTGCTCCGCAGGCCCCGTTGCCCCTGGTGGCTTGGATACCTCTGGGAAAGTTGCTGGACTGCTCTGAGCCTCAACTCTTCCTCTAAGTGAGGAAATGATTCTAAGGATGTGGAATCCAACTCATCCGAACCCAGATTCTCTCGTCAAGTCCTGGAAACAAGAACTGATGTCTGGCCTTAGGTTCTCTTCTGCACAGAGAGGTTAAGCGCCTTGCCTAAGGTCACCCAGCACGTTAGAGGTGGATGTGCAGCTACAACAGGGGCTCCTGGACCCTCAGTGGCGGCCCCAGCCCTACACCATAACTTGCCTCTCAATAACAACCTTTCTAGCGTCATTGAAGCAGTGTATTCATCTGCCCATAGCAGGTGCTCAATAAAAGGAAGTGATAGTCACCTTCTCAGTACTTCTTACATACTTCAGTTAAGTGCTGTCAAAATGTGACTTATTTTGGATTGCTCTCGTGGAAAGCTTGGGAGGAGTCCTGGCGTGCATACCTGTAAGAGCTGAAGCTTTACCTATTTGCATTGTCCATTAGTTGATGGTGGCCCTCAATGGCAATACTACTAATTCTGTGCAATAGTGGTTTTGAAAAAAATATCTGCCTTATCAGGTCATGAGAGGATTGAATGAGGTGATATACTTAATGCCCCGCCGATGCCTCCGCACTGAACCCTCCACCAGGCCCTGGGGAGGACGCAAGTCCCACAGCCAGCAAGTGCCCCAGCTGACCACTTAGCACCAGCATTTCCCTGAGAGCCTCGGAGGATGTGTGGGGTCCCAAGACCTCTCCCTCATGACTCAGCAGCACTGCTCTTGAGATTTAAATGGCACTACGCACCCCCTCGTACAGTGGGACGGAACAAGGCCCGAGTTCTAGTGTCAGCTCTGCCTTGACTCCTCTGGGTGATCTTGGCCTGTTCCCCTCCCGGGACCCCAGTTTGTCCGCCAGCAACGGTGGTGCTTAGAGGCATGTGTGGTCGACATGTCAGGAATGAGGTTCTCTGCCTTCCCCCACCTGCACCCCGCCCCCCGGGTCAGGGTCTCTGGGAGTGAGTAGGGCCCAGCGTGCTGTTTAATCAGGCCCTTCTCATGCCTGCTCAAGGTTGGGACCTGCCTGCCCAGATGCTCTCCAAGGCCGCCTCCCCATTCAAACCCCCCATCACCGGAATGGAATGGGGGTTATAGATACCACAAGGGCTGCATGCTGGCTGGGGAAGGGAGCATGGGGTGTCACAGCAGGGCGCTGCGCAGCCTGGGTGCAGCTGGGGGGCTGTGGGAGGAGGGACAGGGAGTGTGGACCAGAGGAAGGGGGCCTGGTGTAGGGGGAGCACTCACTGGCTTCAGACAGCAGCATTCACTTCCTCCTCCCTGCCCATCCCGCTTCCCACCCCACCTCCATCTCCCAGGTGCCCTTGTGCTTTCCTGGGGGCCGAGGTGGGAGGGGTGGATCTGTCCTCCGTGGTCCCCCTCCAGTGTACAGGAGAATGTCCTTTTCCCTCCCGCCCCTGCGCTGAGGAGCCATCCAGGAACAAGAGCTGGTGAGACCTCTAGCGGCCGGGAGACGCCAGGAGAGCAGGACCTGCTCCTCCGCAGCGGCCCGGGGTTATGTGGGGAGCACGGTTTAAATCTGGCCATTTTAGGGCGGATGCCTGGGCTCCTCATCAGCTCTGACCTCAAATCCCAGCTGAAAATGACAGGCAGATGCTCCACCTGCGGGGAGGAGGTGGGAGATGAGACACAGAGCTTGCTGGCCTGCCAGGCGGGTTGGAGAAGGCTGCAGAGGGAGCCTTGAGAGGGGGGCTGCTGCCCTGTGACTCCACTTCAGCGGCCTGGAAGGCTCCTCTACCCGGCGTGCATAGCGCTCAGTCTTTAGGAAGGCAACCCTGTGATGTCAGTTCTCCTTTCAGGATCACCAGGAGGTGTGTTGAAGCTAGTTTGACAGGAACCCTGCTTCTCTGCATCAGCCCAGGACAATAGGAGCGGATGTCTAATGCTAAATTCAGCCCTGTGCAGAGAGGTTAAGTCACTTGCCCGTGGTCATTCAGCATGTTCCTGGTGGCTCTGCCGCTGGAGCAGAGGCCCTGACAGCCCCATGGGAGCCCCACCTTTACACCGTAGCTTCCCTCTGAATAATAGCACTTAAATCCTGAAAAGCTTTGCCCTAGATTAGGCTACATTCTTGTCGCACCTGGCTCCTTTGTAAGGCCCTGAAATTCTCTGCAGACAAAGAGAAGAGCCCACGGCTCAGGATGAGAAACCACAGCGCAGGAGACTTGAGTGAGGTGTGCCCGGCTTCCGTAGGCTCCCAGATTATTGCTGAGGACAGACAGATCTCAACAGCCCAGGGGCCAGGATGGGTCGGGGCCGGCTGGCGGTGGGGGAATGCAAGGCCAGCGGGCAGGAAGACTGTTGTCGGGAGGCAGTGGGCATGAAATTTTTAAGGTGCCAGCCAGTGTCAGCAGGTGACACAACACGCAGGGACCAAGGACAGGCTGCTGGCCTGGGGAGGAGGGTCCCCAGCAGGCCCGTTTTCCAGTCTGAGACAGGCCTCCCATAGAGGGGAGCTTACGACTGTGGAGGGCAGGAGGCCCCTCAGGACACTGCCCTCTATTCAGGGTGAAAGGCCTGTTTGGAGTGAGGCGGGGGGTGCAAGTCAGTCCTGGCCCGGCTCCCGTTCCTGGAGCTGGACGCCGCGGCCGAGGTGAGCCGCAGCAGGTTCCAGGGTGGTAGGTGGGGAGGAGGCAGAGGGACAGCCCCTAGCCTTGGGTGGACACTGACGGCGGGCTGTGCGTTGCAGGCAGGACAAGCTGAAGATCCACATGCGGAAGCACACGGGGGAGCGGCCCTACCTGTGCATCCACTGCAACGCCAAGTTCGTGCACAACTACGACCTCAAGAACCACATGCGCATCCACACGGGCGTGCGGCCCTACCAGTGCGAGTTCTGCTACAAGAGCTTCACGCGCTCCGACCACCTGCACCGCCACATCAAGCGCCAGAGCTGCCGCATGGCCCGGCCCCGCCGCGGCCGCAAGCCCACCGCCTGGAGGGCCGCCAGCCTGCTCTTCGGGCCCCCGGGCCCCACGCCCGAGAAGGCCGCCTTCGTGGTGCCCCCGGCGCTGGGCGAGGTGGGCGGCCACCTGGGCGGGGCGGCTGTGTGTCTCCCGGGCCCCAGCCCCGCCAAGCACTTCCTGGCGGCGCCCAAGGGCGCGCTGAGCCTGCAGGAGCTCGAGCGGCAGTTCGAGGAGACGCAGATGAAGCTGTTCGGGCGCGCGCAGCTGGAGGCCGAGAGGGACGCGGGCGGCCTGCTGGCCTTCGCCCTGGCCGAGAACGTGGCGGCCGCGCGGCCCTACTTCCCACTGCCCGACCCGTGGGCCGCGGGCCTGGCCGGCCTCCCCGGGCTCGCCGGCCTCAGCCACGTGGCCTCCATGTCGGAGGCCGACAACTAGCGGTGCCGGGGCCCCCCCGCGGCCCTGGCCCCTGGCCCGTCAGGCCTCCCCCACACCCGCATCCGCATCCGGGGCTCTGAACTTTTTCTTTCGAATCACAGAGGAAGCGTGAAAAGTATGCTGTCAGCCACAGCGCTCTTTGCAGGCGTCCTGCAGCCTCCCGCTCCCCTCCCCTCGACACCTCCTCCCTGAGGGCCTCCGCCGGGCTGGCTCTCTGCTGCCACGCAGAAACTCGCAGGGGAGGGGCCGGTGCCACCAGGAGGCCACAGCCCAGGTGCCCAGGAGCTCTGTGGAGCTGCAGGGGGAGGGGGCCAGAGGGAGGAAGGGGCCTTGGGAGCAGGGGCGAGGCGTGCGCCCTCGCAGCCCGGTGGCACAGTCCCTACTGATCCTGCTCTGCTGGGTCGCTTTTCCAGTCTCCAGCCATCCCAGGGTCCTCATGGGAAATGCCCTGTTGGCGGAGAGGCCTCCTCCTGGAGTCCCACCCGCCTGTCTCTCCCTCCCTGTCCCGTGACCTCAGGCAGGCCAGTCCCCCACCGCACTAGGAAGGGAGGCTGCTAATTCTGTTTCCCCCCTCAAACCCACCCACCCACACGCGTATACACCCCAACACACCAGTCGCTCCACGAAGAGTTCCTGAGGAGGTAGGAGCTTTGAGCTCCCCGAGGCCTGGCGAAGACGTCTGTCTCACTGCATGTGGTTTTATCACATCCACCTCTCTGCTAGCACGGGGGGAGCGACGTCGTCACCAGAGGAGACGGGAGTGACACAGAAGAGCCCAGGTGTGGCTTTCCCAGATAGCTTTGGGGCAGTCCGGATCCTCCCCACCTCTGCGGGCAGGCGGGCCCCTGGGGACGGCACCCCCCGGCCAGGGCTGTACAGCTGGGGCTCCCGGGGCTCCTGGGGCCAGCACAGAAGGGAATGGGCACCACCTCGGACACCTGCTGACCCACCCCCTCCACCCTGATTCCTGGAAACAGACAAAACACCTGGTTCTTCAGGGTTTATGTTTGTTGTGGGTCCCTCAGGGCTTTGGGATTGCTGGGATTGCCTCCTTTGCTGTCTTTGAGCACCCTCAACCCCTCCCTCATCCCTCAGGGAGGGAGCTGGGCCTCTTGGTTTCCCTGGGTTGGGGGGGCGGGGCGGAGCCCTGGCTCGGGGTGGGTGTGAGGGCGCCTTGAGCTAGGGCCGCCCCACTCGCCCTGGTGCCTGAGCCTGTGGCTGGTTCTGAGGACCATGGAGACTTTCCTGGCCCAGCGCCTTCCTGTTCTCTCCACGTCCCTGCGCCTCCCTCCCTTCCCTTGCTGAGGTGGCCTTCCTGTCTCAGCAGCCCAGTGTCCCCAATCCAGGCCCAGGCTCCCCAGTCCAGGAGCTGTGGGCACAAGAGACTTGGGCTCTTCCTATCGCCTTGGCTTCTTTCTGAGCACACACACACACACACACACACACAAAAAGGCCAGAGAAGACCACAGACTCTGTCCCCCTCCCAGCTCCCCAGGGGAGAGCCCTGGCTCCGCAGCCCGCCAGATGCCATTGCATCCAGAGGGAATTGCTTCTGACCCTCTTGTCTTCAGACGCCACCTTTCTGGGCAGCCGCCTCTTGGATGCCCGCCTCCGTCTCTGACACCTGCTCCTGGGACCATTCCGCCAACATGCCCACGTTCCCCCCATCGGCCAAGGGACTGGGGCTGACCCACACTTTTAAGAGAAAATGAGGAAAAATGAACACATTGGAATCCAGTGGTGTTGGGGCTTTTGTTTTTATTTTGTAAAGGTAATGACTTCTTATAAACTCAGTTTTTCAGATGACTGGTTAGTTCTTTTTGCTTTCACTTGGCTGGTTGTACATTGTAAAGTATCCAAAGATCTTGAGTACTGTATGATGGAGAAGAACTCTACACAAATGGGTTGTGGGGGGTGGGGTGGTTGTGTTTGGTTTTGGTTCTTTTCCTTCGTTTCTTTTTCCATTTTTTCTCTTTTTTTCCTTCCTTCCCCCCACCCCCAGCCTTTTTTTTTTTTCCTTTGGCGTTTCAATTTCCTTGTCGTCTGTCTGTGGGAAAACTTTGGAATTTTTCCTATTTATAACTTTTTTTTTTAATGTGGTTGCTTTCTGTACAATGACACAACAGAGTTTGCCTTAGTGATTCAAAGGACAATCTTCCATAACTTTGGTCGCACGCGGCACCCCGCCGAGAAAAACTCTCAGCTAATTTTCTGGCCTATTTATTAAACAGTATTAATTGACTCGATGAAATTATTGAGAGTTGCACTTCTGTGAGAGGTGACCAGCAACAAGTCAGTGGCTACGTGTTCACTGCAAAACAAAAAACAAAAAAAAAGACCACAAACCTTTGACCCTTTATTTAGTCACCAGAAGGGCAGTGATGTGAGGAAGAGAAAGCTTTGCTTATTGCGTTTCCTGGTTCAGGGTGACATCCTTGTCCTAAAGCTCACGTCAGGTGTCAGTGGTGGTTCTGTGGTGGGGAGGCCCAGACTTAATTCCTCAGGGTTTCCCACCTTCCAGACATGCAAGAGGCACTGTTTGATCAGAAGTTTTGGGGCATCTGTGAGCCCGAGTGCAAAGTGTATGTGTGTGCATGCAGGTCTGTGGTGTGTGAACAAGGAGAGGTCACGGGGTGGGTGACCGTTGCAACACTGCCAGGCCTACGAGTTCCCCACCGTGGCATCCACAGCGGCCTCCCTGGTCCTGTTGCACCTGCCTTCCTTGCCAGCTTCCTCTGGTTTCCTGGCAGGGGAGCTGGACTTCTCCTGCCTTTTCACCCGAGCCACTTCCCCAACCAGAGAACTCTAGATCCTGAAAGACGTAAGGCTTGCCATGAATGAGTCAACTCAACTCAGAAGCCAGAGCGCGGACTCTTGGAGTAAAATCGTTCTTTGTGCTGTGTTTTCTGGATTACCCAGGGTACCCCAGAGCCCCTTTTCTGTGTGCAATCCCCTTTCTTGCCATGGCAATATTTCTGATAAGCCACATGCAGCATTTCTTCGTACAGAGGAACAAACCCATGGGGAGGACTCCAGACTCCTCCTTGCTGTGCGTCCTCGGGCTCATCACTCGCCTACTCTGGTCCCCACTTTCCTTACCTCTAATAACAACAGGGAGTATGTACACCAGAGCAGCTCCAAGTTTCCTACCCAAACGCCCTTCAACAGTAGGGGGGGCAGTCGGGGGGGAGACAGTCAACTGGGGAATGGGAACTGAACTCTAAAAAGAATTGCCTGAAGCAACCTTCGCATAGTGTAAAATTCTGCAGTTGCAGGTTTTGGCTTTGAGATTCATGCATCTACATTCTATCACATAATACATATGCCTCTGTCTTAATATAAAAATAATCATCTGATCTACTTGCCAGTTCCATAACTTGTCTTATCCCCAGAATCTTCTAGTAAAGGCAGAATGTTCCCTGGCTACCCTGTAGCTTTGAGAGGCCCAAGCTCACAGCTGAGGGCTTAGGGGTTCACATGGCCCAGAGCAGGAAATACAAGGCCAGGTCATGATGTCACTCAGCTCCGAGTCCTCGGCTCCCTGGGTCCTCATCTGGGGGTCAGTGTCCACTAAAGGCTGGAGGCAAACATAGGGAGAGGGTAGGTCCAATATGGCCCTGAGCCCGGGGGCTCCTAAACTCAGGTGAGTGAAATAAAGTCTGCTAGTCCCGGCTGGGTAGGTATGTTCCGTGGAGTCCTGCAGGGGCTCAGGGCCCGCTCCCTCAGACCCAAGGTTGGAGAACGAGGCCACTGAGGACCGAGAACCATGTGCATCCTAACCTAGGGAGGAAGGCCTAAGAGAAACGTTAGATCCTTGGAACTTTTTTTTTTTAAAGATTTTATTTATTTATTCATGAAGGACACACAGAAGAGAGGCAGAGACACAGGCAGAGGGAGAAGCAGGCTCCCTGCACCGGGAGCCCGATGTGGGACTCGATCCCGGGTCTCCAGGACCACACCCTGGGCCGATGGTGGCGCTAAACCGCTGAGCCACCCAGCCTGCCCCCCCTTGGGACTTTTAAAGCTCCCTCAGGGAGAGGGAGGATTTTACCAAAAGTCTGGCCAATTCCGAGCAGTAGGACAGAGATTCTAGGAATAGCCAGGTGTCTGAGCCCAGGAAAGTAAGTAACTTCTACCATGGTCTGCAAGAGGAACGAGGTCCCTTGTGAGGCCATGAGCTCCCAGTCACTGGAGGGGTTCAACGCGGCCTTTCTAGAATGCCGAGAGGAGAGTCCTGTATAGAAGGAGGTCTGTCCTGTGGGTCACACCTGATTAAAAGGGCGAATGTATATCCTCTCGTGGCTGTGGAAGAAGGACTGTGCTGGGGAAGGGGGTGACAAGGGAGATGAGCTGGCCCAAGTTCACAAAACCTGGCTTGGTGGCCCAGGGCTGCGTGCCCTTCCCTCACGACCCCCACTTCCGGTGCCTGACAGTGACATGGGGCCAGAGAAGCCAGGACTCTGCATGGCCCTGACTCTGAGACCCTGATCCTGTGACAGAACAGAAGGGACCCCACAGGAGTTAAGACTCCCCCCGCCCCAGGGCCCGCTCGTCCACAGAACCAGGGGCTCTGCTCACAGGGCCCCAGCACCCGGCCACAGCTGGCAGCCCTCTCCCCAGACCCCAGTCCTCCCGTCCTGGACCTCGGCAGCTCCTCATCCCATGGGTCTTCTGAGCCTGCTGCCAGTGGACACGCAGGAGCTTCCAGAAGCGGGCACAGCCCTGTGCTCCCCTCACGGGCACCTGACCTTCCGAAAGCCAGTGAGCACCTCATGAGGGAAAGCAGAAGACCAGACCCCGAGGCCACGTGGAGGGGGGTCAAGGGGGGGGATCAGCCAACAGGAGGGGAAATGCCACCTGCACGCATAGGGTCGGAGACCCCTCTGGGGACCTGGGACAAATTCTGGAACCAAAGATGTTCACAGCCAGTGGCCTACTTCCCAACACCTGCACCCACCGCCTGGCACAGGGTCACCCTCTCCCCGTCTCCTGGTGCCCCTCCTGCCCCCAGCTGCCCTGCAGGATGCAGCCCCTGTCCTGTGTTCTGTCCCCTCTTCACACAGAGGGGAGCCACCAAGGCGAACGTGACTCACTGGCTCCCTCTCCCGGCCTCTGCAGCCCCTGCGCCTCGTTCCGATCCCTGTGGAAAGGCCCTGAACAAAGCTCCACAGGGCCTCCACCCAGGCGGACAGCCTGGAAATCGTGCCAGTGGGCACCTACCTGTCTGGACTCCCCTCTCTCCTCCTCCGCGGGGGTGCCCGGGCGTGGGGGTGTGCATAGGCGTGGAGTGGTGCGGGCGTGGGGGTGCAGGAGTGGGGGGGTGCATGGGCGTGGGGGGGCATGGTCGTTGGGTGGCGAGGTGGTGGGGGTGCGGGTGTGGGGGTGTGCACGGGCGTCGGGGGGTGGGTGGGGGCGCAGGTGTGTGTGTGTAAACGGGCATCTGGGAGGCTGTGAGTGTGGGGGGTGCGGGATTGGGGGTGCGGGCATGGGCGCAAGCGTGGCAGTGCGGGTGTGGGGGGGCGCACACAGGTGTGGGGGTGCAGGAGTGGGGGTGCGTGGAGGCCCGGGTGTGGGGGTGTGAACGGGCGCTTGGGCACGGGCACGAGCAGGGGTGGGCGTGGGGGGTGCAGGAGTGTAGGGCAGGAGTGGGGGGTGCTTGGGTGTGGGGGATGCGGGCGTGAGGGTGCTGGCATGGGGGTGGCAGGCAGCAAGCCAATAGCCTCTTTCACTCCTTTCTGCTGGGAAGCGCTGCTGAGAACTGAGTCAAACCTGCATTTCCAGCAATTGGTGGGGGTCGGCCTTAGCTCATTGTACGCCCCCCTTACCATCCGGGGCAGGAGCTGTGGTGACACCGAGGAGCGGAGCCCAAGTGGCCTAACCCAGACACTATGGACCCAGAAATGACAAATAAGGACAAAACATCTCAGGGCTGGACCATCCTGGAAAGCCTGGAAACAGCCCTTGATCCGCAGCCAGACACGTGCACTCACACACACACTCGCATGCTTGCACGGAGTCATCAGACACTACACAGGCTGATGTCATCCCTCCTGTAACGATGGGACACCGGGCAGCGCATGGACGAGACCCAGGCAAGCCGCTGTCCCCAAAGCCTCCCTTTATAGACTCCTCTCCAGTGTTACCCTGTGAGCCCTCTAGGTAACCGTGACCCTTGACCCTGACGACAAATGCAAAAGCATAACAAGGAGGTTTCAGGAATAAGGACAGAAGATAGGGTGCATCAGACCCTATCCCACGTTCCTCTACAAATCAAGACATTCAGCACACACCCTCTGAGTCCTGTGAAGGGTTTATGTTTTCTCAGAGGACTCTCACATCCGTGGGTCAGCTAGGTTTGAACCTCACGAGGCACATCTTGTCCCTATATGTATCCGCTGAGATTCTTAGTCAAACGCCAGAACCATTTCTCGGCGCAGGGGCAGCGCAACACCCCCCCCCCCCCGTGCCGCCCCCGCGCCCGCTTTGATGGAAATGGCTTTTTACTTTGCCATTTCAGCGTCATCCCTGTAGGAAGGGCACTGTGCTGCCCACAGTGCATTTCCCTTTCATGATGACCCGGGTGACCCAGCCCTTAGGAAGGGGTGGGGACTGCGAGCCGCTGGGGGCAGGTGGGGGCATCGTAGCAAGAAAGGGGGCACAATGTGCAGGGTCAGGGTCACCGGGCTCCACTCCCTCTTTCCCTCCTCCACGCGGACCTGCGAGGGTTCCCAGCCTCCCAGCCTGAGCCCTGGGGGTGCTGGGCGCCCCCTTCGAGTTCCTGCCTTCCTCACCGCCTGGCTCAGCGC